GGAAGGAGGCACTACCTTCCCCTCAGGTGTGTAAGAGGCAAATCCTCTGCCCCTAGAGTGCTGCAGAGATGATGTGATACATCTTTTGCCAGCAAAATCGAGGCACCAGACAGTTCAGTTTCTAAAAAACCCTCAGCGGTCACTCCTTCCTCCATCCCCATTCTGGGATGACAGCACAGTGCTTCCCAACCACTCCAGGGACCTCCACCATTACTAAAAAACACATTTTCACTCTGCTGTGTAGTGCTCATCACCATCCTTGCAAAAAAAACCCTGCTTGCTGTTAGTTATGGCTCAGAGGTTCCCTGCATTACAGCTTCCAGTGGAAAAGTGATTTACCTGACTAAAAGCGCATTTATCAAGACAAATTCTAAACAGGTGTAAATTTAAATTTCAAATCCCATCTCCCTGATAAAATGCTGCAGCTGGATCAAAGAAATCAAAGTGGCTGGGTTGCTGCAACACATGAAAAACACCAACTCCAACTGCTAAGGAGCTGTGGAAGTGAAGAGGTGGGATGCTGGAGAGAGGGACTGAGAGCACCAAGGAAGAAAACTTAACAAGGAGGAAACCTTTAATCCACCAGGAAACCACCTTCAGCCTCTGATGTAGATACCATAAGGATCTCATACAATGAGCTAAAGAAATACAGTATCAGGTCTGTGCAGCCTGGGCAGAGGAACCTCAGTGGTGACCTTGTTTTCAGTCAAGTCTAAGATAAACGAACCAGAGATCTCTGGCTGTGTTGATAACAGAGCAAAATAAATATTAACAGTGATTAATATACAAATGGCAGTCTACTAAATTTATGTTAAGTGCTGAACATCCAGGAATGGCTTTGGATCCACACACCACCAGTGACAACCAGGGGAACAGCCTGGAAAACCACTTGGAAAGAAGAAGCAGCCAACAAAGAATTAAGAGAAAACCTTGACATAAAATCTTATAATAATTTCGGTAGGAAAGGAGCACAAGATCACCTGTTTCAACCCCACTTGCTTCTCAAAACAAGGCTCCAAAATGCAATTCCTACACTACTCATTTCAAATTATTTGGGAAATGTGTATGCTGGTGAAGAAGTCCAGGGAATGCCATGAAGCTACAGTGCCAGCAGTGATGGAAAGATGCTGCAACACACATAACAAGAAGACCAAATCCAAGTCAAGGTCAAGGTTTATTAACAGTGATCAAAACAATCAAAGGATGTGAAGTCATTTACAATGACTAACATAAATCAGTGTGGATTAGTGCTTTGTTAGCACATTAGGATTTATCAATGGGATAAAACTTCCTTGAGGCACCCAGGAAGTGCAGGCATTAGGATGAAGAAGGTGCCAAACTGCTGACAGACCACTGAGTTGAATCAAGACAAAAACAGATTTGCAAAATAACCTAATAAATGAAGTGAGGAGCTGGGCAAAAAATGATGGATTCCTCTGTAGGGCTTGATATCCTCACCCCCCAGAATAAACCAATGCTGTGAGAAAGCTAACCAAGGAAAATGTGCGTTGACTTAACAGTACTTGCCTTGAGCTGTGTATTTCTGGCATTAAAAAAAGGTAGATTTGTACCATGAAGTGCCTGTACCCATTCCTCTTTTCTCCTATGTGGGCTACAATGAGCTAAAATGAAAATCACAGTTCATGTTTTCTAAGGGACCAGGGGACCAGCAAGGCTGAAGCTGCTGGATGAGCATGAAGGGTCAGCACTGGGCCAGGTGGGCAGGCGGTCGACTGGAGCTTCCAAATCTAAGCAGTGATTTCCGAAGAGTAGATCTACATCCAAGAAAATGCTCGACAACCCTGGTTCAAAGGCCCCCATCAGAATTGTTTCCACTGTGAGTAGATGGGAACTTGGTGCCTCAGTCCCCTCCTGCAGCCTCACGGACCAGCAGCAGGAGACTCCTACCACCAGCATCTAAAAAGCCTTTCATATCAGGACAACCTTCTGTCAGAGTCCTTTTGAGACAATGACAGATAATCACACTAAATTACGAATAAAAGAGGCAATAACTTCTTTCTGGAATAGCATCAAAATTGAGGGGAAAAGGCTCATGAAAATATTTCTAATGGATCTCTGAAAAACAGTCTACAGCTTATCAGTGAACATATCTTGGCATGAAGAATGTAGGATTCCAAGAACATTTGTTATCTTAATGTAATTTATATATTTACAAAATATATAAATGCAATGTAAATGTGTATAATGTGAATTTACAGAAACCCAAATTTTCATTAGAAGGGTAGAGAGCCAAATTAAAAGGGAACAATGGATAAGATATAAAATACAGTTGTTCTTCCCCTTCCTCTTGTAGGGGTTTTCCTGATTCGTGATAAAAGTATAAAGCAACCCAACAAATTATTCACCAAAATATATTGCTATCAAATCTGCAGTGACTCTCCAAGGCAGTTCCACAACTCCTCAAATCCCTAGGAGTTTTTAATTAATATTACCTCTGACTTGCAATTTGGTTTGCTTAACAAAAATTACCTTACATTATGCAATGCTTCTTTAAGCCATGAGACCCAGGCAAAACTCTGTTTATTGGCATTCAAATCCCCATATAAAACAACAGCATCAAGGTATTTCCTTGTAACAACTGGCCCCACAATTTACAAGCCCACACCACTATGCAAACATATAGAACAAGGTATAAATATATATAAATATACAGGACAACCCATCCGAAGTTTCTTGACTGTTGACCCCGTATCTGCTTCCCGTAGTCCTGCTGAACATTTACAGAAGTCAATTGCTTTTAATCTTTCTGTATTTGCTTTAGACGTGTCCTGACAACCACTTAGAAAAGTGGCATTTTCCTGACAAAATGAATCATTTGTCTTCTACCACCAAGTTGCAGATCTTTGTCACCAAATTAGAAAGGCTAGAACATGCCCTAGGAAGTCTCTTTCTCTGCTTTGAAATTACAGGGAGCAGATATACTCAATTCGAAAAATCTTGTGATGAAAAAAAAATTAAAATAAAAAAAAGTTACACAATTTCCTGAAGCATGGGCTCATAATTGGAACAACATACTGTGACAAGTGGATTGCAAGAGGAAAAATACAGCATGGAATTGCACAGTTCCATTCTAAGTAAAAGTACTGACGCCATGTTCTGCTGAGAAAACCTTTTGTGCCTCTGACTTAATGATAAATTTCATGTGACTTTTCTTGGTTGGAGGAAGAACAGAAACAAAATCAAAACATTGTCCTGACATGTTAGCATTAAATATCTCCTTTAAGAAATAAACTTCATCTCTTTTATTGTTACATAAAGTTCTATTTTCAGCCTGAACAAGAGGGAGAAAAAGAACAAGAAAATAACCACAATTATTCTCAAGAATCCAACAGAGGTCTAAAAACAAGGAGAAATCCTTTTTAAGGAAGAACAGACTTTAGCTTCCAGACCTATATTCCAATTTCCACCACCTTTGCTTTGAAAACTTCGGTCAGTGCTAAACTCCTCCTCATGTCCTTCACAGTATTAACCACCTCTGTTTTTTTCAGCTTTGACCTTCTCAAGGCTCTCCTTTCCCATCTATTTTCTGATATCCCTCCCCTTCACAGGAATGAGTCCTCCTCCTCCTCCTCCTCCAACATCCACTCGGGTTCAGATGCTTCCAGGTCCTGCCTTTTCCTCTGCCCATCCTTTTCCTTGATCTGTGCGAACTCCATCACTTTTATGCTGACAGCTCTTACTCTGTGTTTATCCAAGATGAAACTAATATTAAATTTTGCAGAGGTACAGAACGTGCACTCAGTAAGACCAAAGTAGAACCATCACTTCGCTCTCCATCATCCCCCGAGACCTCAGCAGTTTCCAATTTTTCCTCTCAGCAGATAATGCCCATCAGGCCACACTGCTTCACAGAGCAGAGCATCATCAGAAATTTGTCCCCACTCTACCTGGGCCTTTTTGGATAGATCTAAGTTGTGCTATTTCCAGTCTGTAAGATGACGAACACCCTCTTCTTATGACCTTGAAGTCATCTATTATATGTTTTCCCAAGGGCCTTTATGACAACCCTGTTCCCCCACCAAGCCTTTGCCAAATATTGCTATTTGGCTATTTTCTTCCCTTACTCTTTTCATCATATCTCTCTCTTTAGGCTCCTGCATTTAACTGGTTTTGGTGATTCAGACACAACTCAAGATTTTTTTCCCCATTTCCATGTTCAAGACGTAACTGTAGTTGCTCACCTACATTTCCTCTCTACTAAGAATACACATCACCATTTCCCAGCTCACTGTGCTCACCTTTAAGCTTTTTGGCTTTTACAGACAGCATTTTTCCCAAGTATGTACTCTTTTTTCCCCTTGAGAAAAAAATCCCCCCCCAAAGTCTCTTTGGTATAAAACCACAAATCATAATTATTAGTTAACAGTACAAATGTCCACCAGGTGACAAATGCAATTCTGGGGCTTTTCCTTTGCTAAAAAACACATTTGGTTTGGAGTGGTTTCCTACTTCTAGCCTATTTCATCTGCAAGTTGAGATGCAGAGTGACCTTTCCATATGGCATGTTCAACATATGGAGAAAAAGATACAGATGCACAAATGTTTTGTCTAAAGCACAGAGAAATTACAAACCATCCTTCAGTTCCAATTTATCGTCTTTGCACTGAAACCATAATTTAGAAAAATTAAAATGTTCCAAATAATAATAACTTAAGCTTCTAAAGCACTTTTTCAGATGCTCTTATTGAAAGAACGGACAATATAGGTCTTCAGTAGTAAGCAAAAGTCTTTTGTGAGGAAAAATACCAGTTACTGATGTCTATCAGACAATAAAATGTGGCCCTGCGTGGGCTGTACATTCTTGTACTCAGAACAGACCTGCTGATGAATAAGCTACTGCTTTCAGAGAAATTAATTTTTTCCCTTAAAATACTTCAGAAAGTTGATTTTTTTTCTTATAATAATCCCAAAATCTTTCAAATCATGTGTACAAAGATCTCAAGTTATCTAACCGAAATGTATGACAATACAGGCATAGCCACTGATAGAATCATCTTTTTATTTTCCACGAAAAGGACAAAGGTTCAATACCACAGTCAGATCCATGTGGAGAAATGGCAGGATGAAGTTTCCTAATGCACCCTAAAATCTGAAACACAGACTTGATCTGGTGTAAAAAACCAAACCCTCAGATGCTTCCACACCATCCTCTGCATTCAAGAGCTTAAAGCACGAGATGTATGTAGCCAGCTACCCTGCAACCCACAAGCACATTTACAGAGCTAAAAACATTAATTTACTGGGTTTCTGGAGGCAAACAGAGTAAGATCATCTTCCCGAGGTGTCGCACTCCCACTCTGCGGAATGGCCGTTCTGTACATTGCCTCCCCTCTGCGAGCACCACGTCCACCCCCACAAACAACCCATCTCCAGCAAGGGATGCAGGGCAGTGGTCCCCAAACAGCCAGCCCTGAAAGGTCCCAGCTGGATGAAGTGACTGTTTATGAGCCTCTACCACAGCAACCAGGGCACGCTGCTCCCACCCAGCGAATTTCCAAGGTGGCTGAGTTGAATGTATCATAGGGGTGTAAAAAGCTCCTGTTCAGGTGTTTCCTTTTCAACGAGATAGAAGCTTTTCTTGCAGGCCCTGGTGGCAACACAAGCAGGTGATGTTGGGGGGTGTAATCCAAGCACGGAGGCCGCTGGGAACACTAATCCAACGGGCTCGACCTGCTCAAGAGAAGAGGGCACACCAGGATTTGAAAAGAACCACCAGGGCCTCAGGAGCATCCGAAAACATGGCATTAACCCTGACCAGGATGCAGCACAGCTGTTCATAGTAGCCTGGCTCCATCAGGAAAAAAAAGAGTGAAACCAAATAAAATTTCAACTTTGCAAAAAGCAGATTTGAACAAGGCAAGTGGCGTGTCTTCCATCTTCTGTGACAGCACTACATGGTTTATGGCTCACTTTTTTTGAAGACGTTTCTCTGCAGCGACACCTTCAAACTGTAACTAGCTGTGTAATTGAAACTAGAGGTGCATGTAGGCCACAGGAAATACTCCTTACTAATAAACCCAGAATATCTGACAGAAAAACATTATGTCCCATTATGTCCCCTGGTCAGGGCACTTTGCAGTTTGTTTCCCCACTATGCTGTTCAAAGGGTTGATCCATCCTTTCCCCAACTGCTCTCACAAATACAAACTGTCCCATACTAAATTCTGTGTACTCAAGATGTGCTACACTTCATCCACTAGAGCATCCAGCGGAGCATCCATCTGCTCTATTCCCACTTTGATCCAGCTCCCACCTGGCTGGCACAGCCCAAAGTCTTATGGCAGAAGATGGGTATGGCAACCTGGGGCTCAGCTGGGAGCTTTCCATTGAGAGCCTGCCAACATTTCCTTGAATCCACCCTTCCCACTACACTCTCCCATACCCACAGCAACTGTGAAATCGCTATTAATTATGCCCGTTTGCCTGACCCACTTATCTTGGAATAGCAGTATCTGGGATGGGCTAAAAACAGGAAAAAAATACAGGAGGGAAGCTGCTCATTTTGCTTCCCGGACAAGTCCTTTTAGAAAAGCCAACTCTGTTCTGATTTTCTCCACTACTTTTTCTCTTTCTTTCCTTTCTTCTTCAGCTTCTCTTCTGTATCTTCCTTTTGTTTCTCTCTGCAAGAAGAGGAATCGGGTTAGGAAAAAGGAACGATGGAGAACGCTGATCTAAATTGCTTCACATCTTCAAAATGTGGAGAGAAAATGATGGGGCGTGGGAAGGGAATGAAGCCCTGTGGGTTTTCTTTTCCAGATGACTTTCTTTTTCCTTCTGGCTCATGACTGAAGGAGATATGAGAGAATAAGAACTGCTGGAGATTTTGGCAAATATTGAAAAACGAGAACATGCAAGTACAATTATTTGGAGAATAAGAAGCAAATGCTAAAGAAAAATAAACCCCACAAATACAGACTATGGTCTCTTTCCAGAAGGAAAAGGTTTTATTCAGTCTGAATCAAATGTGCTTATTTTTCACATTAATTCAAGCATGGATTTCATATAAAATTCACAAAAACCTGTGTCAAATACAGCAGTGCACACCTGTTTAGACACATCAGAAAACACTCTTTTATTTTAAGAGAGAAGACACGCAGTTCTGTTTCCTGAAAGGTGACAAGGAACCAGAGAGAAATAAAAGAACAACCTTAATATTGTAACGAACAATATCGAAATGTTCTTGTCTGCACATTTGGAGGCACCGCCATGCACTTTTTGTTTACACTGATTTTTTGCAAAGAAAACAGCACAGATTAAAACTGACCCCTGTTCTGTGCACTGTTGTGGGGAACAAGGCTAATTTCTGGCTCAGAAGAAAGGAACCTCGTAACAAAAATAGAGTACACGAACATGCCTGGGATCTGAAACATGGGTTTTATTCCCAGAGAATGTGAGCTTTTTCCAGGTACCCAAGCAGAAGGCACCGTGCTAGAGCTGCCAACAGAGATCCAAGTTTCCCTATAAAATGGCTCGCACACCCTTCCATAAACCAACACGGGAATGAGAGCTGCAAACCCACCAACATTGAGCACAAGTACAGAAAGTATGTATTTATTCAAAAATAAGCTCTTTTGGGGGCATCCTTTCGTGATTTTTGTTTTCTTATTTGTGACCTTTGGGAAGGAAGGATGCTCTCAAAACCTCAGTCACTGTTTGTGTCTGCAGAGGTGATACCATCCATGCTATAAACCTGTTACAAGCACCTGATTATTTGCCTTCACCCACCAAATGCACCAGTGAAAATATTTTGTTTGTTTTTAACTCACTTAAAATGGAGGTATCTTTCACAGAGAGAAAAGTTTTCCAGAGGAACAAGGTTTTCACTTTGTGATGTTTTCAGAAAGACCTAAGAAATAATATAAAATAACAACTATTTCTGCTTCCTGCCAGGCTTGTTAGAGTATTTTAAAACAGTTCTCTAAAATAGACCAAGGTTTTTTTTTTTCCTGAACAGATTTGCCACCAGGGAACCAAATCCTATCCTTATAAGGGTACAACAAAACAAAAGTCCTGAAAAAAGTACAAAATCTTGTCCAATTTTTAACTCAGGAAATGGGAAGTCTAAGATAAAACAAAGTTTAAAATCAGTTTCTTCAGAATTAGCAATACTCAGACGTTTAACAAATTAATCTTCCCAAAGATCACCCTCTGGCCCTTCACCCCAAATCATTCCTCTCCATCCAGTGAGATCTGAACCCACTAGAGCTACAAAGCTAAAGCAGAGATTTTATACCTACAGGCAGTATTCAGGCTTTACCCACTGAAATATTTTATACACACAGACATGGTTACTTTTACCATTAAAGAATTCAAACTGTTACAGCAAGGCAGAAACTATTTAAACAATTTGGGCTACAAGCACCAATCCCGAAACTGTATAAAACCCCAATATACACAAAAAGAAGAGAAAACTCCTTAGCATTAAACATTGGAGAAAGATCTTAAGAACAATGGACCTTAAAATAGTTTGCAAGAATCTAAAATAACGTCTGAGCTAGGCTAACACAGAAATCAAACTATTTGAAAAGAAAATCAATGTCAGGATTAATGCTTCGGTGCTCTCCAAAGCAGGACAAAATGTAGGGAAAAAAAGAAAAAACAAAGAAAAAAGGCTCGGAAAGCCAAGGGTTTGTTTTCTACTTTACCGAATTTTTGCTGTGGACCTTATTCTGTTTAAGAAGTTGCGTGAGAAGCGAATTGCTCCGAAGCTGAACTGAACCTCACCCAAGGTTAACTGAACACCAAACACAGGCCACACTTCCTCTGGGCCCTTTGTATGAAAACAAAATATTACCAAAATACGCAGAAACCAAGGATACTGCCACGGCAGCTCGTACACAAGCACGTTGAGTTTCTGGTATCTGCAGCATTCAAAGCCTGTGTAAGTAAACTTTAGAGGATCTTGACAGAAGTTATTTTCATCCTCTTTTTCATTATCCGACACTACGAGCTGAGTCGTATAAAAGATTTAACTGTAGCACGTACAAAAGCAGCGGCACATCAGCGAGCACTTCATTAATTAAAAGCCAGAAAAGGAAGTTTGCTAAACGAAGCAAATGTTCTTATCACTCCTATCTATATTCATTAAAACTGACAGGAAACCAAATATCACCATCTGTCTACTTGCAATAAAGACACTAAAAACAGCTCCGGGGTAGAAGAATAATATAAAGTATAAAACTGCAGTTTTTCAAGTTTCAGTTTTAAATGGACAAGAGAGAAACTGATGTCAGACAAGGGAGGATGAAGGATGACAAGGAGCTGGTACATGAGACTGGAAAAAGAAATTAAACGTTTCAGAATATAAATTGAAGCCCCTTTTGAAATCTCAGAAAACAAACGACAAACCCAAGTTTGCACCGTGTTTTTCATACAGATCAACGGGTCTGGAAAAAACTAAGTGTTGCAACGGCACTCATTTGCCTATATAGAAGTAACTGGTACCAAAAACATTCAGAAAACTACATTATGCAACATTAGCTGCAAAGTTTTAATGGTCATGCAAGTCCCAGGGAACATTTCCACAGCTTCATTATGCCCTGATGCACTCCCTTCAGATTTACAATCTTTTTTTCTTTAATTATTCCTATATTTGGATTTTGTCTTGCAAATCAGCAACTCGTTATAAAAGTTGAATAAGTTCTGATGAAAGAAGTATGGCAGAGGTATTAGCTTAGCTCTGAAAAAAATAGCAGAGCTCACATCAGCGGTTGTGGAGGTCAACCGAAGGTCACTGATTTAAGGTACTTCCCAGCAGTTGTACAGTTCCTACCTTCTAGTAATCACCCCTTTTTTTGCACTGCAGGGGAGAGGAACAAAAAAAAAAAAAAAAAAAAAAAATAGATGGTAATAAGATATTTAATGACAGAAATGAAAATAAACTACTGCTCACACTCTCCAGAGCACAGCTCCGTGTCGTTAATTCTGCGCCATTCCCCAGCTGCGTTTCGCATAGCAATGAAATGCGCTTCCAGTTCCTCTCGGTGCTGCATAAAATATTAGCTCTATAGTCACAGTTTTTTAAGACTAAATAAGGTTAAAGTAATTTAAGGCTGAGATAAACAGAAAAAAGAAAATCCATTGTGAAGAGTGCCACCCGGCTCCCAGCCCCCCGCGGTACCGGAGCACATATGGTGTGGAGCAGATCTCTGGGATACCTACAGGAAGCACAAATGGGGTTTAGGAGTGGAGGAGCAAGGCAGCTAAAGGCTAAACCGAACCCTTATTGATTTTTATTATTGCATTCCTCCAGAATGGTACTTTCTTCTTTTTTTCTTTTTTTTTTCTTTTTTTAGTTTAATTTTCTGTCCTTAGAACAGTAATCCATACCTCAAGAAAGGCTCTCATTAATATTCTATGAGAATGCTTTTTTAGCCTCAATACAATTACAAGCACAGCAATTATTCTTCTGTTAATACTTTAACAATACTAACAGACCTATTAACAGCTCAGCACAAGTATGAGGCGTTTTGAGAAACAGAAGTGCAGGGCTATTTCTGTTTACTAAAGAAACCACAACAAAATTACAGAAGTTAAATAAAGCCTGAGTGTAAAAAGTTACTGTAAACTGGAGTGCAAATGTGCCATCAGATTCCTCCTTGATCCTGAAGAACCTCCTTTTGAGAGCCAAGTTATAAGGCTGTAGGAAAAACCAAAATTTTTAAGTGACTGCTGAAATTCAAGGGTAAATTCTCTTTTATGTTAAATATATAACTGGGCACATTCTTTATTTGTGAGTGACAATGAAATCATTGGGATGCTTAGAAAAGATTTTGAAGAGCTGTTAGGCAAACGTGGAGATAGGTAACAGGAGAGAAAGTGCAAAACCATCCATAAAAAAGTCCTGTGTGTGCTGTAAAAACGCATCCAGGCTGAAGCTGGAGAATGTTTATTCTAAGGTGGTTATATGGTATCCAAAATGTAAAAGAAACATTGCTGCAATGGGAGAGAAAAAGACAACAGTGTTGACATGTTACCTTTATAAACCTTTCCATAAAAAGCTGCACAGTAAAGGGCAACAGCATAGCCCAGATATTGGAAAAATTTATTTTACATACACCTCATTAGAGATCCTGTTTTCCTATAGAGAGTAGTAACTATCGAAGTTGTATTTAATTTTATTTACTAATAGGAAGCATACACAGACTCAGGTTCTTCAGAAGCATTAATAATCAGTGGAAGAGGAGAAATGCTTTGGCAAAGAGAGACAGCAGAATTCACTCCTGTACTCCTGTCCACAGCTGCCACAATAACAACAAGGTATAAATCAAAACACCTTCCACAGCACATATCAGAGAAAACCAGCCCCAGACTTCAGGCTCCTTGGATTTGAGAATGCCAGGCTGGAAAAAGCCTTTTGGGGAACTGAGAAAGGATCAATTTCCTATAATCCTCTTAAAAAGGTAAATGAAGCTCAATCCTGAAACTCACGGCGTTTAAGTTCCCATATTGTGAAGCTGCCTCTGCACTGTGCCCCCTTAATTACAGGAAACTTTGTTCTAATATCATATGCACACAATACTACCAATATTATTAATTTATGTTTATTTATATATATATATATGACAATATCGACTTACTAAAGACTGGTTTGAATTATTTTATCTTGTACCTTACCTTATCTATGAGCTGAGAAACCCCCTTTGCCTGGTCTTTAGGCACAGATGAAGCTGTCCTTCCTGTAAGGCACCGCAAAGCACCCACTTCCTCTGGTTGTCCTAAACCCCTTTGCTGCTCATAGGATTACATACACTGTGTTAAAATTCAAGATGGCTCTTGCCCTTTTGTACTCAAATGCATCCTCTTCTCTCCATCCTGACACACACACAATAAACCCTGAATTTGCCAGATTTGATGCGTGCTTGCAGCACGACTTATTTTGGTGAGCAGTTTGCTGTAACACCTCCTCATCCACTGTAACACCTCCTCACCAGCATTATTCTTGAACTCACTTTAGACAGTCAATAACAGTTTTCCACACACCTTTGTAAAAGCTCCCTAAAAAAAAAAAAAAAAATCTACTTTTTAAGAAGCGAATGCTAAAGCGACAATGTCCCAGTCACAACGCCCTCGTGTCTGCTATTTAAAGTACAGCACCATTACCTCTGCACGCCACTGATGGAAGGTTCATCATCCTCCTGCTCCAGAGCATTCAAAAAACCTGACCCAAAACCAAGTCCACCCAAAGTGTGTACCTTTTAATCCACACTAAGACAAAATAATTTATTACTATTTACATTGCTCCAAGTATTTTCAAGTTTTGCTATTTAGACGGTCTTAGTAGTAATGACTGCAGCAAGCTGGGACAGGTTCACCATAAAACAGAACCCAGGGGAGCGCTAAAAATAAAACCTGGGTGTCTTGAAGCCTGGAAAAATACGGTGATGCCACAAGGGAGTCAGTGCAGGCCTGCAGAACATACTTCCTACACAGACAACACCTCTTACTCACTAATTTCGATGGTCAGATATTTACAGACAGAGAATAATCCCGAGTTTCTAAAGGTTCCTTTGACACTCCCTTCACTCACGTTCCCCTTTCCCATGTGTTTCTTCTCCCACACTTTATTTGTCTGCCCTCTACCATCTTGCCTTGAACTAGGCTCAGGCCAACTATTTCTCCATGTACTGGCTGTGCCCTGCTCTTCCCTGTGCCCAAACGATGTGACACAAGTGATGGATAAAAACCTGCCAAGGTCTTAGTGAGCTCCAGTGCAGGAGGGTACCCTCCTGCCATTTCTTTATACTATGCAGTAATTATAGCTCCTTTTTCACTATTTTTCCCAGTCTATACCATTATTTCTTTTTATTTTATGTACCATCCATTACTTTTCAGGTTTTTTTTTTCCTTTTTTATCCTCCTATCACTACCACAGCCCTTAAGAGAAAGCCGAGGCTGTTAAGTATCACACACCTGTCATTTCAGCATTATGTTTAGGAAGCAGATTCTGAAAATCCTGATAGCACCATAAAACTGGTAAACTAAGAAATCTCACCTTGGATTCTAACACTTTATCACTGTTCTTGTACGCTTCCCTAGATACCTGCTGCTGATCACCATCACAGACAGGATATTGAATTAGATGTGCTTGATCTGAACCAGAACGGCTGTTCTTACAGATTTATTGCTAAAACAAGTGTTTCTGCCAGACCTAAGAAAATCAGCAAGAAATAAAGCTACAGACTGATGTATTTTACTAAAGTAGCTTCAGTGTGTGAAAGTCACCCATTTCTTTGCCTAGGTTTGTTAGACAGCTATGCAGAGAGGGCTAATCGTGGTGAAGATCAACACACTTGTAAAGTACACAGATATTTTCTCTGATATTGTTAGGAAACATTAGGCATATGTAATTCAGCTCAAAAATATTTTTCACCTTCTGAGAAATATGGGAAACACTTTGAACATGATTTCATTAACAGGATCTTCCTTATTAGCATAAGAAAGAAAAACTATTTGTTGGAAAAACACACACCATTTAAGGTATTCCATGTTGTTTTCCAATGGTGTTTTCCCAGAGACACCAAGAATGGTTTGGTTTTGTGGCTTGGGCGGGGTGGGGGAGAAGGTTGTTGATGTTTTGGGAAAATGTACCAAAGCTTGCTTTGCTTGCTTGCTCTTGGATCCTCAGCTACAGCGAGAAGTGGCTGCTGGCAGAGCTAACTTCAAAAGCCAGCTGCAGGAGAAGCTGTCACTGTTTGATCCATTAAATATCTAGAATTCAAAAACTTCTTTAATAATTAAAAAAAGAAAAAAAATAAAAAAGTTCCAAAGAAATAGCAGAAGGTTTCCTCAACGGCCAAGTCCTACTGGCCAAACCGTTCCAACCACATACCCACCCTTGGGTTCCAGGCCCAAGTAAAACTCCATTCCCTGCCAGCCTTATCTTGCCAAACTCAGAGCAGGAGGAAAACACTCAGAGGATCTGCATCCAGAGGGTTCCACCACAGGCAGAGCACGGACACACGCGGCAGCACTCCCAGGAGCCGCTCCACAGTTGGTTTTTATTAAGGAATGCACACGCCTCTGCGCTCCAGTCAGACGTATTCAGGCGCTCTAGCACATGAGCAATAACTCAATAACCACATTTCCTTCCCTGTATCATAAAATAAACACAGTCTCCGAGATAGACTCTTATGGATTTATGTCCTTTCAAAAGAATTTAGTAATTGGAGGGGAAAAAATAAAACCACAAGTAAAGTGCACGGTTCAAAACGTGCAGTAAATAGTTCTGAAAGCAATGTTCTCATCTGGGAGTATTGCAACAGATGTTTATCATGAGCTACTGCAACAGTTAATCTAACTCTGAGCCAGATTAACTCTTTGCCATTGGAAACAAGCCTTTTTTTCCACAGAAAACAAGGGGATGTGCCAGAATTGCTGACAACAAGCAGTTAACTGAACGATGGGGGAAGAAAAAAAAAACAAAACATAAAGCCCCAACCAAATAAACCAATATCTGGCCCAAAAGACTTAGATGAACAGGTGTATGTGTGGGTGGGAGTGGAGCGAAAAAAATAAAGAAAAACATTTAAACAAAGCCTCCATTGACATTCTGGTCACTGAAGTGGGTACACACAAAATGAGGCAAGCAACATTTTTGAACAGCTCAGAAAATAATGGAGTTTTTTCTTTTTGTTGTTGAAGAAGATAGGAAATATGATTATTGATCTTGGTTTTCAAACTGTGGTACCAATACATCACAGTAACAACTCAGAGGTTATTCTATTTCAAGGTAGTCTGAGTAAGAATGAAAACAGGAAGGTACAAAACTACTTATGCAATCTGGTATTTACCCCTTAAAGATACAAATGCAAATCACAATTTAAAGCGTCGTTATTTAAAGTTGAAATTACCATTTCTTAACGGGCGTAATTCAGATCCCTAATCACAACATTTCCTAAAGGCAAGTAAAGGGCTAGTAAGTCCTGTCCAGAGCCATTCCTCTGCTCCTAATTTCACAGGCACTTAATTCTGGAAAATCCTTGAGGATATATGAGTCCTGTGAAAAGAGACAGCAGCCCATCCCCTTTTATTATCCGGAAGAGATCAAGCAGGAGAGGTAAGTGCACCATGTTCTCACCTGAGCATCACCTATGGAACCCCCATCCCTGGGGCCACACAGCACCATGGCTACACCAGGATCCATGTAAAAGTGCTGGGAGGCAGAGCTGGTTTGAGGATTTACAGCCTTGCACAGCTTAGAAGGCTACACACAACCTTCATGCAAAGCCTACACCTTCCCCTTCGTATTCCCAGCTGCAGTAACATGAGAATAAGAGTCACAAATTCTGGAAACTTTGGGTCTAAACTTCCTTCCCGACTGAAGAAAATCTCAGCTGGTTGGTTGTTTGAGGGCTTTTTAAAGAAAGAGAAAAACAAATGCCAATCTGTTGAGTGTAAAGACAACGTAAAGAGATTTTGTTTTTCTAATTGCTCGGCAGAACAATAAACGAATAAAAAGCTCTAAAAAGTCCCTTCCATTCTGCAGTATTTCTGTTGGTAATGCACAACAAGTCTCTTTCTTGGTATTACTCCTAATCCACAAAAGCAAGAGCAAACATTATCAGTCCTTTCATATTTGATGAAGAAATTGATGTTATTTATTCAAAAAAATCTTTATAAATATTCCTCCGATTCTAAAAAGACCAATGACACAGAGTATCTCTACAATGCCAGCAGTATCTCTACTCAGCCCTTGGCCCTTCCAGGCCGTTGGAACAGCCACCCATCAGTCTGTTGACTAAAATATAATCATTTGCAGCTTGTTTTGGTTTTTTTTCCCCCATATATCAAAAGTTGTAAGCACCGAGAAGAAGGTTTTGTTTTCTAAATCTCTAGCATTCCAGAGAAATATACTGACACTGCATTCTGCAGGTCTTGCCAAGAATGTCTTTTGTGTTCACAGTTTCAGTGTTGATGATAAATTTTGAACGTTAACAGCACAAAGTATGCTTTAAATCAAAGCCTAAATCATAAATGTAAAAGTAATTTAAACTAGTGAACTGGAAACCCTGATTTAAATAATTTCATTTTGCCAATATAGTTCTCCTAAACACCTATTTGCTTTCAATGTTGTTAGTTCTCACTGAGCAGGTAAATAAACTACATGCATCTATTTAAATGATTATGAAGTGTAATATATTCTAGATCTTTTACATTTTATTAAGTAGACAATTTACTAGGCAATTATTTTTTTAACTATGATTCGTAAGTGCTTCAGAAATATTTAATAAGTCCTAAAGCACATTTTATGATTATGATTATCCCCATTTCATAGAAGGATAACCCAAAGAAGAGATAATTAACTAGTTTGGACTCTCTCCTTCACCAGATTAAACTAGCTCTAAGATAATATGATTGATCTCCACTATAACAACGTATTGCACATAATTTTCACTCTGATCTAGCAGTTGTAACAATAATTTGCAAATATTGGTAAGAGAGCAATTGGAAGCAGGTGGCAGCAGCAGAAAGCTGGACTAAATATCTATGGAAGAACAAGGAGGTTTTGCTGGATGGTTTCACCAAGATGTAACACTTGGTACTATTTTTACTTCATCTTCTAAAATGTGGATGTAAAGGTAACACAGAGCACAGTCTGCTCTTAGTCTTCACAATACCAGAGCTTGCTACATGAGCAACCTCAATTATCTTGCCCCGAATGATGCCAAAAATAGCAGTGAGCATTTAGATCGCTCCCACCACCCAACCGAACCCTTGCGCCAGGCTCTCCAAGTTGTACAACCTCTAAGTTTGAGTACTCATTTCTTAACATTGGGCCTCAAAATCTGCAGGATGTTGTGCCAACGGCACTCACTGTGAATGTTTCAGGACAATTTCTCCACATACTGAATGTTGCCCCTCCCGACGGGCCAGGCTGAGACCTTTGCACTTGCACAGCTTCTGCCCTGAGGGGCAGTGCCAGATCTGAAGCATTCACTAGACAAGATAGGCAAGGTATGGAAAGTGGGAGAAGCGGCATAGAATTATTTTTAACGTTTTTCCACAGTCTCTCATCATTGTGCCCGCTTCCCATTGGTGTGAAAAGCTACCTGTGCCCCAAGTTGGCCCATGATGGGAATCTCCACCTTTTGTAAAGCACCTCCTGCTCTCTCCCCCAAAGCCAGCCCTTATCGAAGGAGGAGCATCAGTGTCTCTCAGGCTACTTTATCCTTCTGTGAACTTGACTTTCCTGTGATGCTTACAAAAATTTTAGCAGTTAGATATTAATGACCATCTCTGAGTTTAGCCAGGAGGGGCAAGAGGAGCCCTCCACCATGTGCTGGAGGAAAATAAAACAGTAAAAGGCACAGTGGTCCACGATGAGACAAATTTGACAGATGTAACCATGTAAAATGCCTGAAACCCTCAGGTAAGGGGGTGACCACCAAGAGGCATGTGAAAGAGGAGAGTTTGGAGGAGACAAACCAGCACTTTGATGCTGCAAGGTCCAGCTGGATTCACCCACCTCACTGCAAGTCCTCATCTGCAGCTTCGGGATAGAGAGGACTATTCCCTCCAAAATCCACTGTAATGGTGTGTGCCAGACCCTAAATCCCACCCCACCAGCACACCACACATGCCACCCTTTTTGCCTACAGGGAAGCACAAAAATTAAAGGGATGAGCAGAAAGACTGTGAGGAGCGAGAACGGGACAAGCCAGTTGCAGGTCAGGGACCTTGCTGCGCCTAAGCAAGCCGCCCTGCTAAAGAGAAACCGAAAGGTTTTACACTTTAAACCATCTGCATTTCCTGCACAAATTCCCCACCCACATCTATCAAGTGAATCCTTATGTTGCCACGGTTGTCCATCCACCACACAATCCATCCTGCCCTATCATGATGCTCCAGGCACAACACTGCCGGTCTGGGAAGCGAGCGGGCTCCGAGGGGAACGCCAGCCCCGAAAGGCAGATGTTGTGTAAATTCATATTTCATAAACACAGCTAATTGTGACAAGAGTGCCATAAAAATCCTTGTACCGCTTAAATTATTTCTCCACTTAGAGCAACTCTGCCACCAGAAAGTGTTACACACTGCACTTTATACCCAACTGGCAGCGCTCGGTGATGGCATTATGGCTCTGTTAAATAACAGATATAAAAATCACAGATCTTTAAAAACTACAGATTAATTTTTCTGCCGTCGTTCAACATAACCATTTAAAAACAAACATGCCATGCAATTGTCATTAGAAGTTTTCCAATCTAGCACTGCATGTGCTTAAGTATGAAAATGATACTTTAGAAATAAACATTGCTGCTGTCAGGGGAAAGTGCTACAATAAGTCACATCACTATTAGAGAGAAACCGTAAAGACTCAATAATCCCTCACACTTCACCAAGGAAACATTCTCTCCATCCTCTCATCCAGCAAGGTCACAATAAAGGAAAACAAACAAACAAACAAACAAACAAACAAAAACCAGCAATAAACAACTAGAGGATACCTACTAAAACTCTGGTTCTTTAATTCAGACACACAGGTAGATAATAAAGGAAATTCAGAGACTGTTTTCTAATAAATGTATGATTTATGGGTATTACTGATGCCAAACCTTCAGTAATCTATGTTTCATCATCATGTTTAGCAAATGCATTTATCCATGTGAATATTCCTGTGCATACTGGAGTTATCCAACTCGTACAATTACAAAGAAGTATAAGCCTAAAAAATCCAACTGAGTTTTACTTTTTCTAGCCTGACTTTTTTCATGTTTGATTATTCAGGAAAATATTTATTACGAGTTAATTATCTATTTATATTTGGAAGATTTTTTTTTTTTAATATCACGCACAAGACTGAGAAACAACAAGGATTTCTTCAGCTCTGTGGTGGGGTCACAGGTACCAGGGAAACAATCCAGCGCTGTGCCAAAAGGAAAAGCAAAGCCTTCATCTGCTCTCCCTCACCTGCCTGGGTGAGAAAACAAGCAGGAGGCGTGGAGGGTAATTCAGTTCTGCAGTACTCACGTCATCTTTCATATTTCTGTTACCGCCACAAGCAGGCAACGCCTGCCAGCCTGGCTGCAGTTTGTTTACACACGATTAGGAACCAGAATTTGCTATTTAGGCTAAAGAAGTCTCGGTAGGTATCAGCCAGGCACAGACCTTATTTCGTCTGTTTTCTCAGGATGCTCTGAAGAAGTTTATGTAACGTGTGAAAATTATGCGTGCCATTATGTAATGGAATCAAAACACAATAAAATGCACGCAGGGGTATTTCTACTTTTAAACAGCAGCGACTGAACTGTAGCTGGCTTCATTTTAAAAGTCCAGATAGCTTGTACAAATAGCAATTATTTCATAATAAAAAATACTTTACAGATAGCTATTTAAATTTCTCATATACTCAGGCATTCCCAATCATTTCATTAAACCACACTGATAAATTCAATTTAAACTCCCCAGGTATCTATCACTTTAGACGATCTAAGTGATTTGGGCAGACAATCCCAGAGCTGCAGGTACGCAGTTTTTTCCTGGGAGCTGACAAATCACTGCTGGTGCAACAGGTGCCATTTCTATTCATCATTATTTTTCACAAAAATGATCCTGCTGCCACGGTCCCTCTCAGTGCTCAGGATGCCTGTGCACCCACGGAGGTGAGGACACACAACCCTGTGACAGAGAAGCTCATCCAGCTGCTTCCCACACCCCAGAGGCACAGGGGCTGCTCCTGCTTGGTAGGGCCACACTGAAATTCTTCCATCACTCCACAGGAAAGCCTTTATTGATTCTTACGGCTTCAAGTTAGCAACAAAAAACCCTAAAATTTTTAGGCCCAGCAACAGACCTGGCCCCACAAGCATCTTTCTGCCTCTGCAATGCACAGCAAGGGGTTAAGAGCATTGTGAGCAAACACAGGTGTAGATCACACTGACTCACCTGCAGAACCACTGATTTTAACTCAAATTCTGCATAAGGCACCTTAAAGGCTCGGTGGTGATTTTATTCCAAAGAAGCATTCGGGTACTGATTTTTTAATGGGTATAATGAGTTACTTCTATCCAAAATTTCCGCTTCTCATCTACGTCACAGATACGGTTGTGCAAATATACTACGATTTCCAGTACTATCTCCAGCTGGGGATGCTCACAGTATATTTAAATTTCCAGGTAACTACTAAATGGCACAGAACGCACAGAACCCAGTCCTAACTGCAGCCTTAGGCAGAGAAAAATGCCACAGAGAAAAGTTGCAAAACCTGTAAGCAGATTTCTCTGTCTGAAAATGCACCTCCATCAGAAATAACTTTTGCCATGAAAATCACCAGGAAGCTCAGAAGTTAAAAAGGCAGATGTGTTTTTCATATGATGCTAAATATACAGAAGAAATACAATAAATACAGTTGATTGTAAAACACCTCATGAAAAAAAGAGGAGAGGAGGTATGTTGCAAAATAACAGATCTAAATTTGTCCCTGAAACACAAAACAGATTTGCGAGGCAAGAAAAAAATGGAGAGTATTTAACTTCATATTTGTTATTTTTAAACTCAAACCAAACAAAGTATGTTCTGATAACAGCACATCATCACGTCGACTTCCAATTACCCAAAGGGGGAAGCAGTCATTTAATATTTAGCAGATCCACAGAAACAACTTATGGGAAGGATCCCGGGTTTTTCCGCAGGGATCTGACGACAGCTCCCCAGACGACTGATTCCCTCTCACTTTCCGCAATTCCACAAGCGCAAACCTCTCCGATTTTCAAACCGGACACACCCGCAGCGCCAACTCCGCGCTCCCCAAGTTCATCCCAGCGCATCGCCCCGTCCCCGCGCGGTCCCCCCGGGCTGGAACCACCGCAACCGACCCGGGACGCGCGGGGGAACCTCCTCGGCGTTCCCGGCCGGGCAAACTCCCGGCGCTCCCCCCGCACAAAGAGCCGCATCCCCCGAGCAGCCCCGCACCGCGGGGGGAGCGGGCAGGATGCGGCCGCTGCCCTTCCCTTCCCTGCCCAGCCCCGGCGCTGCGCTGCGCGCTGGCGCGGCCGGGGGAGCGGTATAAAAATAATTATTAAAATTTTAAAAATAAATTAATTAATTAATTTAAAAAAAAATAAAAATAAAGCGACGGGGGCACGGCACGGGGAGGGAGTGGGGACCGCGCAGGCATCCATCCATCCATCCATCCGTGCGCACATTCCTCGATCCATCCACCCATCCATCCCTGCACCCACCTTGCATCCCGCCGGCTCCGCACCGGGATCCGCACCGGGATCCGCACCGGGATCCGCCGCCGCACACACGGGGCAGGCGGGCGGGCCAATGGGGGCGGGGATAGCTCCGCCCTCAGCCAATGGCGGCCGCCCCCCGCCGCCCGCCGGCCAATGGCGGCGCGGCTCGTGACGCGGCGCCGGGGGCGGGCAGCGCCGGCTCGGCCCGCTCCGAGCCCGCCCCCCTCCTCACGCCTTTCCTCCCTTTCTCCTCCCTTTTTCCCCTCTGTTTCCCTCCTTTTACCCACCTTTTTCCTTTCATTTTTTCCCCCTTTATCTTTTTTTTTCCTGTTTTTTTTTTTCCTTCCTTTTTCTTTGCCCTTCCCCCTCCCCCAACCCCGCTTCTTATTTCCCTCAATCCTCCTTATTTTGGACAGGGCCTTTTTTCCACAGATTTTTTTATGTAGCCAACCCCACCAACAATATTATTAATTATGCAGACCAAAAACTTGGGGAGCCCCTCAGGGAAATTACTCTGCTCCCTGTGAAAGGATGCCCCTTCCTAAATCAAGACCCAGAAGCACCAGAGAGCACCCAAGACCTACGAAACACATCTTCGAGAATCCAGAAAAGATGACGGGATGTAAACCACTAAAAGTCTACTCCAGCCAGAATCTGAGCTCAGAACAGTGCCTGCTCAGCCACTGGTTTTGACAACACGACTTGCATGACTTGAACAAGCTCCCAGGGTGCAGAACCAGGCTTTAAAAATACCAAAAACGAAACCAGCAGATGTTTTCAACCACACCACTTCACTCCAGCAGGCAAAGCTTTACACTGTATCACTGCTGAGGAGTTATCAGCAAAGTAAACTTTCTTACTAAGTCAAACAGTTTTGGATATAATTACCTGCTTTACTTGAATATGTATCTCTGTATGGAAGACATAGTCTTTTCTTTTTTTAATTCAAGTTCATTAACATTCATTCTTAGAAACAAACTTCTCAATTGGCAAAACTCATGACTGCTGTATATTACAGCAGAAAACTATCAACTCTCAAAGAGGGGATTAAAAAACAAACAAACAAACAAACAAGATTTTGCTTTTGTTTTTCCAGTCTAGTGACCCTGCTAATTCCTAAGTTTAGAGCGAACTAAAATAATGACAAAGCCTGCGCCTCCCATTGCTGATGTCATGCTCCTTCTGACCTCACCCCCCAGCATTTAAAATCACTAAATTGTATTTGCTCAAAACTCTTGCCTGAACGGGCCACGTTATGAATTTGTTCACAGTGTTGGGCTCATACAGGGTAACACACACCACGAAGTGATAAACCAGATATCAACCCAAGTCTTGATGCTAATTTACAGGAAAAAGCTTTTCTTTTGCAGATCAAGGAAGGTTTATTTCTAAGGTGCCCCAAGAGCCAAGAACACTGTGGTGCTACGAACTGCTGACAGGCAACCAATAACTGTGACAAATTATACATTCATGGCATCTGCAACAATCGATAAACTGACTCACCAAATTAATAAAATATAGATCACAAAGCATACATTTTTATTAAAGAATAATTTCATGATAACCAAGTAATGTGGATGCTTCCAAGCATAAGATTAAATTACATGCTGAGCAAATCTGGCATTTTGTGATAAACTGCGAAAATAGTCTTTGCAACAGCAACTGAGGAAGAACATTGCTGACATAGTCTATAAACATGTTTTATAAAGCATAACCGAAAATAACAAAAAAAAAAAAAGAAAGCCACCACATTGAAGTGGTGGCTAGAGAATTCACTACCATATCTGTAATAATTACTTTCTAGACTTCTCCTTGCTTTGTAATTTATTCCTTCAAAGACGATGCCGATTTTGGTGTTAAAAGTAACAAAAACAGATTAGTTACATAGGAAAATATTTACACCAAATTCATTAACTAGCCAGACTTCAGCAGTCATTACTGGAGTACATATAGATTTCTAGTACCTTTAGGATGCTGGAATATGCACTTAAATACACAAAGCAAGTGTCTTACCTGGTAGACTGACTCTGCTTATCAAAATTTTGTGCCTGCTGAATACCTTTGAGAATTAAGTACCTGCTTGAGCTTCTGATCATAATGAATCCCATCGAACTTGAAGGTCTGAGGCTTTACACGAGGTAAAGTGTTTTCCTGCATGGATATTTTCCACTACTGAGAAATGCAGCAAGAAGAGCTTTTCCAGCCTCCTGTAAAGGTGTTGGAGAAGCTCTTCCTTCCTCAGGGAGGAAGATGGAGCATCTCTTACTGCAGAGGCTTTATTAATGGGAAGAGCACACTTAGGCACATCCTCAGTCTCCACTGTCTGTGTTAGGTTATTTC